TTTAATGATCACAGCACCGTCAGTGATGGGACGGGAGATGCCGAGAGCGCATCCGTGTGAGCTGAGCCCTTACGGCTGTTACATCTCATTGTCCTCAGAACCTCGTGCCTTTCCTTACGTTAATCCACCCAGATTTTCTCTTTTTTTTTCTTTTTTTTTTTTCTTTTTGTTTTTTCCTGGCACCAGTGATGGTTGAATTTGGTGAAATTCAGATTCCTCCTTTGCAAACTTCTGTATGAACAAGGGCACTTGTTGCCTCTGAAGTTTGAATATTTGTAAAGAAATGATGAAGGCAAGTCACTGGATGTTTATTGGGTATAGATGGCAGATATTGATTAAAGCTAGGATAATCACAAGTATAGGCTAAAATGTTTTTTTTTTTTTTTTTTTTTTTAACCGTGGGATGACGTAAGATATAAAAACGACTTCAATATTTTTCTTTTTTTCCTGCTAAATGATTCACCCCCCAGATCTCTCCTCTCCCAGCTGGCAGCCTGCTTCAGCCCTTCCCTCTTGAACTTCTTCCAGGGCTTACATCAAACGGAGCAATATCGTATTGGACGTGCCGTGGCCGCAGCCTGTTCCAAGCAGCCTTTTCCCCACCGTCCTACGGGAAATGTCGGCCTGACTCACCTGCTCCCGTTCCCTTAACTGCTCCCTGGCAGCGGGTCAGCCTCTTTGGGTGTCTTTTTGCTGCTGCTGGCTTGTTGTAAGGGGTTAATGCTGCTTTTTTTCTTTTTTTTTTTTTTTTTTTTTTTTTTTTTCCCCTGCATGCCTGGATATTTTCAAGCTTGAAGCCTGGGTACTGAAAATTTTTCGAAATTTTTCAAATTTTTCAATTTCCCACAGGGGTGGGATAAGCAAGGGACGGGAACAGGAATGGGTTCCCTGGGGATTTAACCCTGTGCCTGTGCCCAGCAGAGTCCCAGGCGCTGTCCCTCCTGCATTTTGGTGGCACTTTGTGCGGTGAAGGACCCGGGTGCTTCCAGCTGTGTACTCCTGTCATTTATCCAGGCGTCCCAGCTGGGATTTCGGGGCTTTGTGCCCCTTCCCAAGGCACGGTGTGGGCTCCCCAGGCTTCCCAGCTCCTCCCTTCATCCCAGATGCCATCACTTCCCCAACAGCAATTCAGAAACTTCTGGAGGACGCAACTTTTCTCCTTGCCCTGGTGATTTCAGCGTGGTCATACCCGGCTCCAGCCCTTCACATTTCCCTTCCCTTTTTTTTTTTTTTTTCTCTCCAGTGACTCCACTTTTCAAGTGGATGTAGAACGCTGCTGGGATTTTTATTTTTGGGAAGTTGTTAACCCAGGTCTAGAAATTCCTTCCACCTCCCGTTGCTGCACGTTTGCCCATGAAGCATCTCACGGAGAAACAGAGTCTGTCCTGAACTTACAGATTTCCTTGCACCTTGTTAAGGGAAATTTTAATTATTTCATCCGGGAGGGATTGTCTGGGGCAGGGCAGCGGGGAGCATCCCTCGGTAACGTGCTGCGGAGCCAGGTGAAGCTTTTCTGCTGGGGGATATGGCCAATATCTGCTTTGGGAGCTCTCAGCAGCCCCAGCAGCGTGGTGCTGGGCTTTGGAACCAGCACACGGGGCGTTGAAATAAAGTCCTTTCCCTCCTCAGCTCAGCCTTCTGGCTGCCTGCCTTTTTCCAGGCGTTTCAGCAGAATTGAGGGATTTGGAGGAGGGGAAGGGGATGGATGTGTAGGTGTGGGGCAGCCTCCACCGTCACATCGGGTCATCGCAGATCCCAAAGCTGTGTTGCAGGCTGGAGGCTGCGGGGATGCAGATATGTCCCCAAAATCCAGCAGCCTGGCTAGGGCAGGGTGGGGTTGGCTAGGGCAGGGTGCTGCAGGGCAGCTCCTCCTGCCCATGAAGAGCTCCCCGGGCTGCAGCATCCTCTAAATGCCTGACACAAGGACACTTGGAGGCAAACTTCATCATCTTTAGGGTGAGGCACGGAAGGTCTGGCGTAAAGTTATTTTAATGAACGTTGTCGAGTGCCTTTGCCATTAGGGTGCTGTCTCTGACTTGAAAGGATTTCTTCTGAGTCACCAGCTCTTGAATATTGAAAACACGAACACAAAGCACCGTCTTTTTTTAAACATGGGCTTGCAGGAACATAGCAACTGACCCTACAAAAATGTGGCCACCCCCCTTAAATGCCTGGCCAGGGTGAGCAAGACGGTGTTTGGTGGGTCGTTTAGGGGGAGCGCTTTAGGATGGGGATGGGGACAGAGCTCTTCCAAAGCCACCGTGGCTCAGGGAGGGGTCTGGTCCCATGCAACGCTTCTGTGACTTGCAAATTGCTGACTCAGGTGGCTTCTGGGGTGCGTGTGCTAGCTCCGGCGCAGCAGCAGCATCCCCCAGGTCTTCCTGGCTTGCAGCTCTTGGAAATGACAGACTCATCCTTTTTTTTTTTCCTTCTCTGGCTCCAGGTGGCACAAGCTGCACTCCAAGGCTGGGAAGAAGGAGAAGGAGCGCGGTGAGATCCTGGTGAGCATCCAGTTTACGCGCAACAACCTGACGGCCAGCATGTTCGACCTCTCCATGAAGGACAAGCCGCGCTCGCCCTTTGGCAAGCTGAAGGACAAGGTGAAGGGCAAGAAGAAATACGACTTGGAGTCGGCCTCTGCCATCATCCCCAGCAGCACGGGCGCCCTGGACATGGAGGATGACTACGACATCGGGGGCAAGAAGTCCAAAGTCAAGGGCTTCTTCCTGAAGAACAAGCTGCGCAAGTCGTCTCTGACGCAGTCCAACACCTCCCTGGGATCCGACAGCACCGTCTCTTCTGCCAGCCTGGGTTTGGCCGCAAACGTTCCCGAGGTAACCAAATCCCCGAGCAGACACAGCAGTCTGTCCACCGAGCGCTCTGGTAAGAGGATAACGGTTTTAATCCCCCCACCCCCCTTTTTTTTTTCCCTCTGTAAGGGACTGTTGGGACTTTCTCCCAAATCTGTTAACTAATTGCTTACCTACGAAGCGGCATCCTGCACAAACCCTCCAAACCCCGCGTGCTGGCGGTAACGTGCTTGCCAGAATGGTGGGAGACGTAAAAAAATATTTTTCTTTTCACGCTGAGCCTGTGTCTGAACCTGACTTAGGCTGATGCCGCATGTTCTCCCTGCAGCACACCGAGAGCTTGCCGGCTCCGAGCGGTTTTTTAGGACTGTTTCTTCTCTGCCCCCTAAAAGCAGGTTGCTACTGCTGTCTCGTAGCGGTAAGCGCCGGGGGGAGGGCTGGAGGAGG